TGGTATACCGATACCAAACCGATACCAACTTGGTATTTGGTATTTCAATCCTAAATGTGTTTGGTATTTTGTTGGTAGAACCCTTACTAATGTATAAGAGACTAAGAAATTGGTAAAAAGTTGGTATTTCCCTCATCTTTCAAAGTTGGTTCGGTTTCGGTATTTCCCCACGGTTTTGGTTGGTATTTGGTTTGGTATCGGTATTCCGATTTTCTGTAATTGACATCACTAGTCTGTATCCATCTAACTGTTTATTTCACACTTCCGCAAAATTTGCGCCTACCGCACAAAGCACATTCAAGTGGAGTTCTGTTTGTTTCCAATCGGAAGCACTTCAATCACAATCGAGAGAATGACAAAGAAAGACTATTTACAGATGAAATGTGCGGCTGATACGCCTATCTAAACTAGATGCCGGCAGCGCTCTTGCGTTGCCTTGGGCCAGAATTGGAGGAACGGTACTGAGGGCACACACCGGGCCAAACCACCGAAACCCAAACTGAGCTTGGACTGAACCTGAAACCAAACGAAACATCCCAAAAATGCTTCGAAGCACGTGAGATTGGTGCGGATATCTACCTACAGTATGGTATGAATTAACTGCACGAGCATAGTTCATGTCCCAGGCACCCCAGTGCAGTCATTTTCATAACATCATGTAGCGTGTGTCTAGTTCTATCAGTGTACCGACTTTTGTGTCGCTAGATCGACGTTTCCCAGGATCAGAGGATCCCTAGTCAAAACCGTTATCCGCCCCCCGCACGCGCAGCTTGCACCCCTCGGATATTATCTCGCCGGAATGTCATGACTCAATGTATTCTTCTTATGACCTGCAAGTTTTGAACCAGTTAGAGCGGCCGTTTACCCTGCAGGCGTGGCAACGCACGAAGGGGTGCAATCGGCTTGCACGTACATAGCTCATGCACCACAGAGTTTAGCTCAACCAAATGTGCACTATTTTGGAGGCCTTGCCTGAGACTACCATTGAACCGATTTTGAGGTTGATAGCTCAAAATTTCTTTGAGCCAGAGGACCTCACGTCAAAACGGTTTTCCGCCCCCAGCACGTGCAGCCTGCACCCCTCGCAGACGGTGACCCCCCTGGAAACTGGTTCAAGGTGTTACCGATGTGTCCCGCCAGTGTGGCTTTGTCCGTGACCTCGGGTTGACCTGTAGCCTTGACAAAAAATTTCGTGTCACCGAAACTTTGAAGCGGAATAGCATGTGCCACGAAGCACTGAGCGAACCGAGGCCAGTACCAAAAGTTTACCTCGCCGGAGACGAGTCGAACGGTCCCACTTTCGTCCCGATCGGTCCACCCATTTTGACTCCAGGTCCAAAAAAGCTTGGACAAACTCACTCACATACTCACTCACATACTCACTCACATACTGACAAACAGGCTTGGCCGAACTTTTCTTCAGCGACCCACCAATGGAATTTCCGGATGCAAAAGCATGCTATCGCATGCTTTTGATCCTCCAATTCTGGACTACTTCGTTATTCAGCCACATTTGCCATGCGCAACAGGAGCAAAGATCACAAAGAAATCATTTTTTATCATCAAGGCTCACACAAGATCCCATCCCCTTTCCAACATTTCGATTCGATTCTTCTATCGGTGTTGGTTGTAACTGGAGGCCAGGGGTCACAACAAGCAGCGAAAACTCTCCCTTTCGACCTACAGACCAAGACCAGGAGTGCTGTAGTCGAACCGCTCTAGAACCATCCCTAACGGTGTTCCAATGGCCACGGAAAACGCCACCAAACAAAAACGAAAACACGCCATCCTTGAAAACGACCGACCCACTAGTCACGCCGTTAAATTCGGAAAACCGGCCTTTTGTTCGTAAATCGCATGCAGTAGGCCGATGCTCTCCTTTTCCCGGTGTGCAGGTAGGCTGCTCATCAGTCATGCACTGTTCGCACCGCTGTCGATGTCAAGGACTGCCCACGACACGTTAAGCAGCCAGCAGCATCTTTTCCGCCAGATTCACCGCACCGATTAGGTTAACGGTGCATTGGGGAGCAGCCATTGAACTAAACGGGGAATTCGGCCGCAGTCTGTCGGCAGGCCAGGCTGGAAGGCGCCTAGTCACAGCCATCCCATACCCGCGGCTTTTCCGTTGTTCCATCCGACCAATACAACGCACGACGGAATAACCGGAACAACTGAGGAGCCTATCCTAGATACTACTCGTTCCTGCACGGATTTCCTTTGATTCTCTCATCGAGTGGCGTTATTCGGTCTGAATTCTGGGTCGGTCGGCGGACCGGCCCGGTCCACCTGTGGTGCGCGTGGGCCATACCGGGCGGCCGTGGGGCGCGGCGGAAGTCACGCTCCACATATCGTGAAGGGCAGAGCCGCCGCCGCCGCCGCCGCCGCCGCCGCCGACACCCTTCACCGGTCGATCTGGTCACGCCTGTCAGCGGCAGCGGGTGCCGCCCCGGGTCCGCGCCTGTCCTCGCCACCGGGCGATCAGCCGATATACCTGCAGCCGACGCAGTCCGATCGCCCATCGGACGGTGTAGAGGAGCGGTGATTGCCATCGCTGATCGAACCAGGGCGGACCCGCCGCTTCACGGTCGGTGTGACTGGCCAGGTGAGAATCACCGCGTGCTAGTTCTCACTGCTCTCTGCCAGCCTCGGACGCCGAGAGACCGACTGTTTTCTCCATAGCGTGGCGGTCACAGACGCAACCTTGATACGCCACAACCAACACCGCGCCGGCGGCGACGGCGAGGCGGCGCCGGCAGAGGAAGGGTGGCACTCGGATCCGGCGCTGATGATATGAACTCTACCCACCACACGACCCGCCTGACCCAATTAAACCGCAGTGGATATAGCAGAGTCTCCTCACGCACACAAACACACGCGCACGGGTACGCGCGCGCGCCGCTCACACGCCGACAAACAGGAGAGTTGGCGCCACAAAAAGGGCGCCAGCGTATCGCACCGCGCCATCGTGGCTGTCGGCCCCGACCTGACGCGAAGGTGGACGGGAAACGGCGCGAGCGGCGCGCGCACGGTGACATCGCGCTGACACTGACACGGGGGGGGGGGGGCAGGAAGGGGGCACATCCGACACACGGAGGGTAGCGGGCTGAATGGCGAGTGTGCCGCGACAGGCCAGACCAGTTACAGTAACCTTGTAGAAGCAGCGTGGACGAGACGATGGGTGTGAGTATGAATGGCAGTAGATTTGTGCCAGACCGTTCACAGGGCCGTGAAAAAAGGACCCTGAAGAACCAGGAAGGTAGGTACGGCGAATGATTTAATGAGGTTAATTAGGCCGAAGGACTAGTCAGAAACAATGAGACATCAAAAGAATTGGGCATAACGGGACAAATTAGTGAAGCCGAGGCGAGGCTGGTAGGTATTCAAAATAAGCGTGAAATTATCCGTCACAAGAAACAAAAATATTTTCAGTGGAATAATGAAATGAAAAAGGGAAAATCAGTAAACAAGTCATAAATTATTTTCAAATTATCACTTGGATCCCCTGCCACCAACAATGTTGCAGGCATTGAAAAGAGAAAGCTCACTGTAACTCGTCTGGATGTTGCAGTCGTTTAAACGACAATTACATCCCTGAAATGAACAAGTCAGCCAGCCTCTTCATGTCAGTTTCAGGCGAATTTTTGTCTTGTCAGGCAACGTTTCGCCACTGGGAATCGCCAGATTCGGGCTCAGGAGCATAGATGAATCCCACGACTAATCCTTCCAGACTCTGACATCTGGTCGGTCGCCTGAGCACACCGTACACAATAACTACTTTTCAAAGACAGCTGGCAGACTAGTGTCACCCCAGATCGGGAAAATACGACACAATCGGTTCACACACTAAGCCTCCAGCTTAGTCAGTGACATCTGGTTTCAGCCCAGTCCCTCAGCCAGTCTGGCATTGCTTTTTGATAGCTTAAGCCGGGAACATTGAGACAGGGCACAGCTCATATGGTGACACAGCGTCCAGCAACTTACTGGTACAATCCAACAGCTATTACGACAAAAATACCATGTCATACCGTTACCCTGCAATAGTTTTTGATGACATGTTTCACAAGCACACCGCGAAAACAGCAGTCTCGCTCAGCTTCGCCAAGCGACTTAAGGTGAATTTTCCGCATAGAAACCAAAGCCAACATGTAACAAAGAGCTTACGTCAAAACATAGAACAGCTCAGTTCAGTTTAGTCATTAGTAATTTGCGTATTTCGCCAGCCTTGGGGCTTGGACCGATCCCCGTACCCTACCCCTCCCAGTGTCTCATGGCCACGAGCCCCGCCCCATCCGGTGTTTGGGAGCGCCGTTCCTCAGTCCTTAGCCACCCAGCTCGTAAACCGCGTCTCGTTCTCCCGGACCTCCCCGAACGCTGCCATGCCTACCGAAACGGCCACATTTGCATCACATTAGCATGACATGCCGCACCTGCCATTCTAACGCGCAGCACGCGTCGCTGCCTCGACTGCACAAACAAAACGGCATCAACGCCATCTGTGGGTAAGGTGAAGAACCTCAAGTTCGCTCCCGCACCGTGAGGCACGGCTGTTCAGCCTTTGCCAAGGTGATGACAGACCAGGTGGGACGAGACTAATGCCACACTTTTGACAAATGTGTCCCGTGTTGGCAGCTCGTGTCAGCGATAGTGTTTTTATCGCTGTTGCAGCATCGCCGCGCCGGAAACCAAGAGGCTCGTGCCAGCGCCCTCTGGCGAAAGACGTGACTGGAGTGGACTGTAGACAGGACTTGCGCCAAATCTTATCGAATATTGGCGAACCGCATGGCCCAAAATAGCGCGAGAAGTTCCACAGCTAGAAATTACGCAAGACTGGAGTTCGAAAACGTATGCTGTTGTGTCTCTGCACCGCGTCTTGGCATGCAGCAATCCGTCTTCTGGCTACATAGACACCAGACCCTCCTATCCCAGCACCAAGCCACATGCCCGACTACCGACAAACCGACTCTCCACATAGTCTATCCTCGTTCCCGAGCTGTACTCACCGCCACATCGTTCTCGAGTGAGCACTTTTCGCGCTGGAGCTGGTCCACCTGCCGCACTGCCACCTCCCGCTGCTGCTTTTCACGGCGCAGATCCTCCTGCACGACAGGGCACGGTCAGGGAGTCAGTGATACAAAGACTTACAGACGAGTGACAGGATTATATGCGGTCAGGGAGTCAGTGATACAAAGACTTACAGACGAGTGACAGGATTATATGCGGTCTAATGTCATCACATCTGAACTTCAATAAAACGGTAGCGGTCTTCGATCTCCAGGCATAAAACTCTCTCAGCCCAAAATATGTTTCGCCAGTCCTGTTCTAGCCAACAATGCCATTAACTCCTCAAAATTCCTAGCCAAATGCCTTAGTGACCGTGAAGTCTACTCAGTATCTGTGACACCCCGTGAACTGCAGCTAGTGCACTGACCTGCAGTGCGTGCATGTCGATGTCGAACTTTCTCTGCTTCTTCTCCAGCACGGTGTTGCGGCTGGTCTGCTCCTCTAGGTGGATCCGCAGGTCATTGGCCTCGCCCGTCAGGCGCGCCACTTTGCGCTTCTGCTGCGCCACCACCTGCCGCTGTTCCTCCACCTCCTCATAGGCGGCCTCCACCTGAAAGAGGTCAGAAGGTGCCGTTGATTAGACGATGCCTTTGTTTGGGCTGACAGACGGGTCAGCGCACTGTCAGTCTAGGGCCATCTAGAAGAAGTTCCGAGTCTGCAGAATTTGCTCGTCGAAGCTGTGTGACGTGACAATGAATGTGAAATCGACACATCAGCAAATTAAGTTAAAATGGGAGCCTTAAAAGTCATAGTCTATCGGTTCTGGCAAAGGTCTATTGGCCCAACCCAGGTATATGCGTGTATTTCCTACAAAAGATAATGAAAGGGAGGTGACGTTTGACCATCAGACTACTAAATCTCACCATCTAGCCCTTATCGCCTCACCGGTAGTCCAAAATGGATCAACCATCTGCAGCTACACGCTAGCCTGGCCACCCACCTTTTTGTCGAGCTGTTTCTTGAGGACCATCATCTGTTCGACGTCGTCCTCGTGCTGCTGCTCGAGCCGCTGCTTGGTGTAGGCCAGCTCTCGGGCCGTGTACTCGTACTTGCGCTGGTAGGCGGTGGCCGAGCCCAGCTCGTCGGAGCCGTCGGAGCCGTCAGAACCGATGGCCGACAGCTCGGCAGAGGCGCGCCGGTACAGCAGCTCCTTCTCCAGACGCTCGTTCAGCGCACTCGTCTTCTTGAACTCACTCTGTATGGGGGGGGGGAGGTCAAAGGTTTGTGAGAACCCCTCGGTGGTAGGAAAGTCCGATAAGTGAAGGGCACGGGCAGAGGTTCGATGTTATTATGAAAGATCATCCGATGACGGTGTTCCCGATCTGAGCTCAGACCGTTAAACAAATGACGTCGGATGGCAGGACTTGATTTGGCTGTCACTGATGCAAGCCAATAAACAGCTGGGATAATGGCCCATATCCCGTTCAACGTCATACGTATATTTGTTCTATAGCAATGATACTGATAAACGATCAGCAAAGAGCACCTGCAAAACCAACTAAGCGTGGGCCCTGTAACCAATCAGCATATGACACCGGGCGGCCCCAAGATCCCACAGATATCCCCCAGTTTCTGCCACGTTTCTCGACCTTACCTGAGTCGACTGCAGATCGGACTCGAGTCGCATCCGCTCTGCCTGCTCTGCCTCGAGCCGTTCGGTGGCCAGAGTGGCGGTATGGTGCTCCTCAGCCAGGTCGGCCGTCACCTCACCCAGCTGAAACATCGGAAAATGGTAACGGTCATTGGATGTCACAGTTCTATGATACACAGAGGGACAGCCGACATGGTTTGGTTAGGTTAGGTTAGCAGACGCACAGCGAAATGCCTACATCAAAAGATGCTGCCTCCTGATGCAACAGATGGACGAAGACAGATGACGAATCTTAAGATCATAAATGAACGTAACTACTTTAACTTATCGTTTACCACACACAAACGTCCACTTTCACTGCCTTTGGAACTAGCTCCGTAACCCCACACCAGGTCTCACCAGTCACCACTGACCCTCCCACACTACAGCTGCACCAGCCCGCGCACCAGCACCATCCCTACAGTCCTTCATCACATTAAACCACATCACTGACGGTCGCTGATGGCATCATCTGCAGCGGTGACGTAAACACGAAAACACAGGCGTCCACAAGGCGGCGGAGGCACCTCTATTCAACCGTCAGCAGATGTAAACGAACAGGCCCGTTACGGGAGTTGGCACGGTCGTCAGACGCATGGAATACCAGTCAGACGCGGTACACAGCTGGTAGATATGTTCGTCCTTCAATAAATTACCTACATGAGGTGGTTTAACCCGAGTCACGAGGATGTCAAAGGAAAAATTTGATACACAGACACACATATAACTCGTGAATGTAAATGATAAATAACCTTGGATGACAATGCTAACAGACGGCCAATCAATCACACATGGGTGCTGAAAGGCGATCGCTCTGACTAATGATTGACCTTCGCAAACATTAAACAATTCGGCATTAACGTGCTGAGAAGGTGAGAGGGCGATTCTCGGCCCCTGGACACGGGGCCAGTCACAATGAATAAGCGCAGCGAAATGTGCCGCCGTCGTGACATATTCTAAACGGCTTTGAAAGAAGTCGAATCTGGCACGCCTACGCTATAACTCCTGCACAGTCGCACGATCAATTCAGTAACACCTTCATCTTGTCTATGTATGGCGTATCATATAAATCATCAGCCCAGGCCCCAGCACAGAATCGGTCATGATCATAATTCCTCCCACTAGATTAGGTAGGTGAGTTGTTATCCCACCCAGGCCCCAAATACCCCTACCCCCTGCCAACCGGCGCGGTGGGTGTCGAGTTTCGGGCACGCCGGTGACAGCGGCGAGCGGGGGCGCTCCTGTCAGTGACCCCCACCCCGACCGGGCCGGACCGGGACCCCCTGGTGGACCGGGCGTCCACCAACTGCCTGACGGGGGATGGACCGAGCAGCTGTTCAGACACGGCAGACAGCGGCGCCTGCCAGCGGTCACCTGGCAAAAGGAGAGGAGAAGAGGGAGAGGGGAGAGGAGAGATGACGCCAAGGTAGAAGACACGAATAGAAGCAGAGACAGAAAGAATCAACAGGGACAGAAGAGCCGGGCTGAGTTCAGAGTAAGAAATGTCAGGAAAATGAGCGAGGAAATGGCCATCATTTTGGGTTGGCAACAGATCAGCTTCCGTATCTACTTTTATCGAGTATGTATGATCTGTCAGAGCTACAGCTGACCCATGCCATCCCGGCCCCGCTGCCAAATGTCCCTAACCGAACCGTCTACCGCCGGGCACCGGGCGCCGCCCGCCGGGCGGTAAGCGCCGAGAAGGCGGTACTCGGGGCGGCACTCGGGGCTAGCCAAGGATCGCCAATGTCGCGCTCGATCCCATCAGCTGGCCAAGTCCCACTTCAAAGGGCTCATCAGGATACCACCGGGATTCTACCAGATTGATCATCCAATGGGCAAACATCAGGACCTGCTGGGCAGCAAAGCACACATCCGCGAACCAGGGGATGCACACAGCACATCCGTGGTTTTACACCAGCGACATCAAAAGAGCGCCGCCTCGACATGCAGGCTGTCACATCTTCCATTTTTCACTCCTGATCCTGGCAGATCCTGGCCAAAACCGAGTCTTGGCAGTCCAGTGCTTACGTCACTACCATTGGGGTCACTTGGCGTCATGAATGGGCGACGACCCAGCGGACGACGCGACGACGACGACGCCGACAGGGCGACGGGCGGGGGCGGGGGCGGGGGCGGTGACACCAGTGCCAGTAAACACAGCCCCTGACCCGTGTGCCAGCGTCGACCGTCAGTCATGGGCGGAGCCGGCGGCCCCGGTCGTCAGACACCGCTCAAATGGCCCAGATCCAGGCCGTGGATTGGTGGCACTGATGGCAGTCGGATACAGGGAGGCCGCCATCACTGGTCCATGGATAGCCAGGACTGGCTATTAGAATCTGGGCCATGACAGCCCCGAACTAAGGGCCTCTATGGTTGGACCGGATTCACTGCCAGTAGCAGTGGCTTCTAAGTAACCCCAGCCAAGCCGTGAGAACCATTTTTCAGCAAAATGTCAAAATAACGCCAGTCTAAATTGCTCCGAGCCTGAGTGGTTAGGTTCGAGAAGGGTAAATGTTTTGCTTTGTCGTGCTATTGTGACGCAACTAGAAGGTTAGCGCTAAACTGTTCCCGACATAATAGCACCTCCCCACCACTGTTTAAACGGACATGACGAACTGACTGTATACATTGTCTTCATAACACTAACAACCATCGAGCCTCGCGCTGCGCCGTTTCCCGTGTTAAAGACGCTGATCCTGCACCACGTATGAGTCAAACACCGCGCCAGCTTAACCTAACAACCTTTGCGTCAATATCCCCTAATATCTCCCCTGATGATGGTAGCTAATTATCAATCACATTTTATCATTTAATCTAGGATTTCTCTTGACGCGTATTTGAATCACCCCTCATGGTATAGGGATCCCACCGTCTCCCCATGAACCCTCCCTGTCATCAGTCAATCCATCACACCCCAGCACCCAAACCCTCCGTCGTACCTCGTTATCGATCTCGCTGATGTCGGCCACGGTGCCGGCCGACCGGTCACGGGTCAGCTCGCGCACCTGACGCCCGGCGTCATCGCTGACCTCTCTGTACATGCTGCGCATCACGATAGCCGCCGAGCTCCGCGCCCGTCCGAGCCGCGCCGGCGGCTCAGCGGCCGCTCGCGATCGGCGCCGAGTCAGCTTCTTCCACGCGTCCATACTGTGATCGGAGCGCTTCAGGAACGAGTCGATCTTCTTGGAGAGGCCGAAGGACTGTGTGTAGCTGACTTCTGCGGCGGGGGTAGCGCGGAAAACGGAGCTCCCGACGCGGGGCCGGCCGCCGGAGGAGCTCAGGACGATACTGCAGGAGAGAGAATCGGAGCGAGGAGACATCTCTCTGCGTACTGATCCAGCCCGGAGTGGAGTCCGCTCCCGGAGTGTCGAGGCGCCGGACAGTGGTGTTCTCTCTCGGAGAGTTGATGTGGTGGACAGAGGGGTCCTCTCCCTCAGTGTGGAGCTCCCGGAGAAGCTACGTTCTCGAGGTGATACAGGCCGCAGCAGGTGGGCCGATCCGCCGGGGGAGGGCGGAGGTCGCAGCAGCAGCCCGGAGCCATGACCGTTGGTGAGACGAACCGACGGACTGTGGCCATTTATTAGCGGTATTCCGTGCAGAGACATGGCGGATTAACGTTCGTTCACCTACGGCCACATCAGTCGGACGCTTTGGTCACCTTCTCGAGCACAAACAGGTAGCTGCTGACGGATTTACACAGCCATCTTCACAGCTCACACATTCCAACAGCTAGCTTCAGTAGCTTCTCGCTTTCCAGAAACTTCTCCCTAGCTTAGTCTTTCAGCCGAAACGGTACACCGTCGGTATTCTCCAAAGTTCTTCACCACCTGCTTCTTCAGACTTTCTCCTAACTTCATTAGCCGACCGCCAACAGTTACACGTGCACCTTCTCTCCTCGTCCTCCGCCGGCCAGCCCGACCGCCCCGGCCGGTCCGCCGCGTCTGCCGCCTCCTCCACCTCCGCCGACGCATCGCGACCGATGCGGCTAAACATAGACTGCAAGGCGCCGGCCGAAACTGTCCGTCTCAGTGCGCGCGGCACGCGGAGGGGACGGTGGACGTCGGTAGGACAGTGCGTGCCACGCGTGCTGCATTGGCTCCGGTCGCGCGGCGGTGGCAGAGGAGGTGCAGGTGGGAGTGAGGGTGGGAGCAGATGTGGGATAGACTGCAATGTATATGTACTGCGGTGACCCGTATCTGGTTACGTGTCTGAGTGTTGGCTTGGTGATCATCTTTTCGGGTGTGTGAATATCAAACGCAAGCGGCTGATGTTAGACAACTTGTAGCATTGCTGAGGTACAATCAACCCAATGCATCTCGGATGTTGAAGGAATCCAGCTATACACTGACGGGTGAGCGTAGCCTCGACAAAACGGTCGAAGGCGACGAAAGTAAGCAAACCAGATGTAAGCAGTGGACAGACAAGTAACCGAGTGGACAGTAGACCGGTCCGCAATGTCCGTTGTCAGGATCACTACCGCATCCCCACCGTCCCTCCGCCCACCCTGACACCTGGCCCGTCGCCAGGACACCCGCCCGGCAGTGCAGTCAGCGTGCCCGCCGCGCGCCGCGTCGGCCGGCGGAACGCACAGCTTCCGCGCCGCTCCGCAGGCGGATGGCTGTCAGTACACGGTACAACACGGGGCTGGGAGTAGCGGCACAGGAGGGTTTATACCCCAGCGCAGAGCGGCGGCGGTCGGTGGGTGCAGCAGACTGGCAGGGTGCCAGGGACGGGATGGGGAGGTAGGGGATGGAAGTTGGTACAGACTGGAGGTAAACAGCAGCTGTATTTGGCCGATTAGGGTAGCGTGGTGGCAGAATGGTGCGACGCAGGACGCTGAATGTCGTTGAGCTAGCACGACGGATGAGTTCAAAACAAGAAGGCAAACAGATTGATCTCAACTCGACTTACGTCTGGTACGGCGATGAAGCTGGGCATTATATTACAACGTACGTGTTATCAGCTTGGAAAATGGCTTCCAACCCTATCTGCCAGGGGCGCACAGCCCCCAGTCATTTGTTGGCTGTCGATCTTGAAGCTGCACCGCTCCACCACATGTTGCCGATATAAAAGCCTTTTTTGTCATACATCATGACGCTCCGACGGATTTCAGACGCGAATGCAGGGAGCCCAGCGTTGGCTCACATCTGACAAGACAAGACAAGACAAGACGCTCAGTAGATCTCTAAGATCTCGCCCTTATCCACCATCGTAGACTAGGACCCACCTTGCTCTCCAGCTTGTCGTTCTCATGTTTGTAGACGGTGTTTTCCTTCTCCAGCTTCTCCACCCTCTCCCGGAGAGTAGCCAGCTCCTCCTGGGGACATCACCAACATCCAGCGTCAGAACGGCGTCACACTACTACAACGAAAGAAACGTGGCGAAACTAACACGTAGTCACTCGCGGAGGCATGTAACGTGAGGTTTAGCACGCTGTTAACTTCATTCGACTGCGACATAAAATCTCAGTAACTGCCGGGACCCCCGCAGAGTACAGCTCCCGTAACATCATAGCAGTGTAGTTGTAACCAGCCACTCATGACAATAGGTACTCTCACGGCTCGTAAACGGGGGACAACGGTGTGCCATACCACAGACACCGCGCTCTCTAGCGTCATACTAGCCGGAGAGTGACAGGGGCAGGTGGCGCTACTGGTAGCCGCACCCACCCACAGCGACCCGCCCACCGGCGCATGAGCTTCTCACTGTGGTCATTCCGAACAACAGGGGCTGTGCATGCCATTCCGCCGTCTTTATGCCATTCCGCCGTCTGTGCATGCCATTCCGCCGTCTTTATCAGCAGCGAAGCATATCAAAGCTTCACTCACAAAGAGACATTTGAGCCCATAAAGTCAGCAGACCCCTCCTTTCTCAACTCGATATTTGAGCTGTTGCACTTGCTTACTCAGTCGCACCTTTCTTTTCCACTTCAGCCCACCCACTCACCACAATTCACCCGACCTCATCCTGTCCCATTGAAATGGGAACCCCTCCCTTCTTCTCTCCCTCCCTCCTTTCATCATCTCCCTCTCTCTTACCGTGGCGGACTGCAGCTGCTGCTCTGTCCTGTGCACATCCAGTAGCGGGGTGACGCGCACCAGCAGTCGCCACCACGGCCAGTCGCGCACACCCACGTACTTGCGCACATTCTTCTGGATACACCGGATGGCCACGTCCTGGACCTATGGAGATAAGTGGGAGGGAGTTGTCAGCATGTGGAGATAGTGGAAGGTATTCGCTCTACGGCGGTCTTGAACCTGCGGGTGATAATAAAATAGGGCCTAGGACGTCAACATGTTGAGAGGCCGACACCTCGTGGTTCTGATGACATCTAAACTAGTGACGTAATATGAATATGCACCCGTCTAGCGATTCGTTGCAGTATTGGTGAGATGAACCGCTCAGCGGTCAATACATCCCGTTCTGCCTCACTCATAATCCGAGACTCCGATGACGCCGATTTTCAGTCAGGGAGGCGTGTTGTATTCCGCCCCCTACCCACCCACCGGAACCGTTCACACCACTGCGATCAACCGGTAAACAGCACAGCTGTGACCACTTCTCACGGAGAGCGGTACCGTGACTGACCCGCGTGTGGATGGGCCACCGGTCATCCGAGTAACGGTGACGGCTCACAATGACCGTGACCGTCCGCCCCCGCTGTCCAGTGGCCACTGGCCAGTCTAGGTCACCGGCTCAGTGGAGCGCGGCGAGAGTTTTATGGCTTGGATGTTTCGCTAAGCGGAAGCCTTAGAACTACAGCGATTGTATATGATGGCCTCTTTGTTATTTACATGGCGCAAACATTTACTGAAAACGTGTAAGGCGTTGGAATATTCGAATCGCTATAAAAGCAGAGGTATGAGGAAGCCAAACAAAACAAAAATCGCAAGACATCAAATACTGGTCTTTAAACTGACGCCAGTCATCAGTTTGGTATGTTTAGATAGCTACGCTCCAGCCTTCCAAGAAGTTTGCATCGCGCAAAACACACATCAGCACCACAAAGATACCGCAAAGCGGCCGCGATAAAACTCTATAAACGAGGAAACTTGTAGGAGCGATCAGGTCGGCATCGGTGTCAGATCACCAGACACCGGCTATCATCCACCGGCGCAGGGGACACTTGGGGCCGGTATGTACTAACGGACTTTACACGGTTTGCGAGCGGGCCGCCCCGTATGGACACATCAAGACACCAGTCGGTTGGTTGGACTCTCCAGAGCGATAAATCACTGACCCATCCCGCCGCAGTCTGACGGCCAGTTTTACCACCGCGCCCGCCGTCATCTGCTGCTCAGTTTGACCACTAAACTGGGAGTGAACACAACCACAAACTGACCACCGGCTGACCGCCCTACAGCCTCGTCAGTTACCGGGGTTACATGAGCAAGTAAATGCGTATCAGGAACGGATTTTCCTATTCGCTCACTATTGTAGTCCGTTTGTAATGCGTATTAACTCTGCTCATGTAACCCCGAGCAGTGAGAAAGACCCCGGACTAACGGGTCGGCGGGGCCCGCACGGGTAAGGAGACACCGGTCACGGGTCAAACCCACTCCGGCGGCCAGTTTCCAGCGATGACCAACAGGAGACACCCCGGACGATGACCGGTCACCGGCTCTTAGCTGTCACCTGAGCAGCACCAACCGCAGAGATACCGAACTGGTGGTGCCGGGTGCTGCAGTGGCAATGAGCCAGCTCAGCTAACGGAACTAACAGGCTTGGTTTAAATCATTAGGGTTGTAAGAAACACGAGATAGTCATTAAACACTTGAATTTTAGCTCAGAACACTGATCTATCAAACCACAGGCAGAAACTCGCATTACCTGATATTATCCTACTTAGTCCAGTAAACCTTACAGAGTAGTCTCTTAACACATTCTTCACTCACTCAATTCGGTAGCAATGCATGACCTGCCCTCAGACTTCCCTCTTCGTGCCAGTGTCCACATCTTTCACATGCACACTTACTTTTCGTCTAGCGAACTGTCTTCTAGCGAGCAGGCCTCGACAGCGCGCCTGGAATCGCACGATCTTGTCCTGGAGCCGCTCGTCTCGCCGCTCTTCCAGTTGAGGAAGTGCGCTCGAACGGAAGAAAATCTGCAGGGCGGAGAAACAGCGGAGTTAGATAACGCACTGGTAAGACGAGGGTGGGTGATGGGGAGAGAGGGAGGGAAGGGGAACGAGAGAGAGAGAGAGAGAGAGAGAGAGAGAGAGAGAGAGAGAGAGAGAGAGAGAGAGAGAGAGAGAGAGAGAGAGAGAGAGAGAGAGAGAGAGAGAGAGAGAGAGAGAGAGAGAGAGAGGATAGGGAAAATGTGGAGAAGTGCAGTACGGGGCTAAAAGAAGGAATGCGAGGGTAGGGTGGCTAGCGACAGAAGGACCTGTGTAGAGCGGGAAAAGTTAGCAATGGAGAGCCAGTCGGATTAACGCTTAACGACCACAAGCACACACCTCACAGGTTTGGGCGCCAGTGAGCCGCGTAATGTGAACTGTACAGAAGGGACAGGTTGGTGGGAACACGTGCGTGGCTGGAACCGGTCCCGGCGCAGTGAAAAATCGGACCAGAGCCGGGCCCGGTACACCACAAAATGAAACGGTACACGGGTGGTGCTCGCTACCGGTTGACGCTATCGGGGACTGGAGTAGCAATACGCCATGGCGATTGATGTTCATGCAGTAAAACGCTAGTAATGGTTTGTGCATTGTCGTCAGCAAGAGGTGGCAAAGATGCTCATACCTTGCAGCCTCTGTTGCGCGCAGTTATCAAGTTTCCTTCCTACCAACTAGCTGTCTCCGTCCGAAAGTCTCATTGCCAGTTGTTCTAACGCGCAGACCTCACACGGCCAAATAGCTGCACACGTATCCACTTTTACCCAGTGACATTCGAGAAAGCCTGCACGTCTCGGTCACACCTCCTCGCACAGAAGGCGCACGGACGCGGCAGGCAATGGACAAACATGCAACGGTCAGTAGCGGACTTTCACTTAATGATGCAATTAGCGTCAATGGCTTTACATGACCACGAGGCTTGATAATCGCCCATGGCCACAGGGGGCGATAGTCGTGCTGCCATGGACAGTTTGAGATGAAAGTTCGGCGATGCTGTTCTCCTCTTATCTCGGAGTTAAGAAAGCGCGACTGATTAAAAGCACGCATCACTTCAGCTCAAACGTGGAAATCGGGCAACGAGACTGAGAAAAGTTCGTCGTAATATTTTCAAGATCAAAAGACAGTAACTCTCCAGTCTTCTCAGTCACATTACACGCAGCAACGTCCATCAAGTGTAGCAGCTCCTTTTGGCCTCCTTGTGGCAGCAGCCCTTCCTGTCCCGATACGTTGCATAAAGCAGCATTCGTGCCGTAGAACACCATTCTGCGTTATGTATGCTCCAGTCTTGGTACCGTCTCCCGCGTGCGCCTCGACTGTGGTCAGCAGGCCCAGCCACCTGTCGGCCCCACTGTGGCCATCACGGAGCCGCCCCCGCCACCGGGTCCCACGATAATCAGCCGACCGCAGCCGGCACGGCAGGGCCTTGGCTGGACAGGGCCGCAGCCAAGGTCCGGACTCTCATGGAACATCGTGGACTTCAACAGGAGCTGTTGAAGGGTGCCGGATAATAGCAATACACTGTCGTTCAAAATGGAGGCGTCAGGTAAGGGCGGGACAAGAATCCAGAATTCATAGCTGTTTATTCCTGAGTAAATTATCAAGACTCATGAAAGTACGCACTCTTGGTTTCATGATATACATGCGTGAATTACAAACAGCATAAATGTGGCCGCATTCACAAAACCAAACAAATACTAAGCTGTCAGACCTCGCAAGCATCTTTAGGCGATGGAATCTCCTTAATCTCCAGTCGATCTCGAATCAACATAGCCCCAGCACTGCGCCGGTGACCGTCTGACCCCACCTCTGACCTGATCTGTGACCTGACCTCTATAACCCAGCGCCGTTACCCGTCCGGCTGACAGCACCGAATGACCCGTCATTAATCAGACATCAGCATACTGAGCAGGCGCCGGGGCGGGCGCCCGCGGATGGAGCGTGGCCATCTCAGCACACACAGTGCGCCCTCCGCTGGACCGGATAGCAGCACAACACAGCCGGGAAGCGGTCTGATCGGCGCATTAAGTCATCAGCCGATCGGGACAGCCGCCATCAAATGCCTCATCCATCATATACCGGTACCGGCTGCTGGGCACTCAAACGGTGACTGAGAGTCGTGACCCAGCTTCGTACCGGTGAATAAAAACGGCAAGAGAGTGCGTTGACGCCACAAGCCTTCTCACTTCACCTCACAAAAACGCTGATCTCCCTTGATCGTGCAACTCTCACTCAGATTATACAAGAAGTAAGATAAAAGATATCCAGCGATAGATGTTCTTCTCTAACATAGACTGACCGCAAGGAGGCTGGGATAGGTCAAAGGTAGGTCACCAATTAGCGGCACACTTCAGCTAAATTAATACGGCTCTGCAGGAACTGACCTCATTATATCACCTGGAGACCATATACGGGTCTCACAGCGACCCCATTAGAAGCTCCATTAGTAACACCCTGGAGCTAATAACCACCCCACGACCTGGCCATAGTCTCACTGGGTGGGCTCACGCCCTGCCCTCCACCGAGCCTGAGATATGAGCCGGTGACCAGGTCCATCTCTCCAACCCCAGCACGGACCACTGACCAGACTCTTTCGCCCAAGCACCAGCCTCTGCTCTTGCTCTATCATCCCAGCACGAGCTGCTGGCCAGACCCTCTACTTCCCATCCCGACACGGGCTGGTAGCCAGGTTTTCTGGCTCCAGCACGAGCTATGTCACTGGGTCAGTAGTGCTGTGATCGGCAGGGCTGTGGTGACCGCGGCGGAGCGAGTGAGACCACAGCGGTAGTGGCGGTGAGGAGGATGTGGTAACGGCGGATACCGCGGCACGATCGAGGATATACCGCCACTACTAGCGGACACTGGGCATTTAACTACCCGCAGGTTCGCACACTAACCTAGACCCACGAACATGCGCAGGTCCTACATGCGCACAAGAGCCGAATACTCATAATAAGCGACACTAAGCGACATCCACTGTGGAGGCCGAGACTTATGAGTTGTTATAAAATGTCAACGAGTCGTCATCCAAGAAGTCTTACAATACGAAATGCTTGTGAATCATCCCAAGTAAACAACAGCCAAGAAAGTGAACTTTCAACAGATTATCGGCATTCCATCAAGAACCCAACACAATCACCAATTGCATTGTTCCTTCGAATCCATTGCTCCGCGCGGAGGAACTAAACCACCTTTCACCATTCTATTTTCTAGCGACGGCTCCCTTTCATCAGTCTTCAGGCGGGGTCCGTAAATCCGCCTTTGGACACCATCTCCAGCATTGAAAAGCAGTCGATCGGAGCTCACTGCTAGCTTAATACGCCGGCTTTCAACACAGACCGTCCACCCTTCAGCAGAGACCATTCACCTTTCAGCAGCTACCTACGTTCAACTATGCCGGTCCAGCTTTCAGCACGGACCTTCCACCTTTCAGCAGCAGTCCCAGCCGCGTCTGACGCGCCTGGAATCCAGCACTGTCTGTATGTCTGTGTGTCGGCAGGAGTGAAGGAATGCAGCGCAGGGTCGCGGCGGGCGGCGGAAGACGACCGTGTTTACTCTGTTGTGCCGTACGGTACCGGTGAACAGAGAAGTGACAGCGGCGGCGGAGCAGAACAGTCAAAGGGATAGAGGTCAGCGATGGTACTGGCGTCTGAGGGATAAGAGATCAGAGCCACATCTACTGGCCATCAAAGGAAATGTCAAAGGGGATAGAGTTCAACGGTACCGGCTATCACGGGAATGAAAACATGCCGCACTCGTCCTGAAACCGAGCAAAGGAGTGGCACAGAGGCCAACGGCACATCAGGTCAGATGGACAATGCCTGAGCTACACTTGGGCCGAAAACATGCTGCCCACTTTCACAGAGCCCACAGACGACAATGGTTTTGCCATTCTGAGCCCACGTTCCGCTGCAGCATCCATACCGGATCAACAATCAGCTCTCAGTGCGGCCTGGGACCGGTCAAATTCCAACACAGGGAGCCTCCACCCGGTCGGCGTTTCTTCTGTCACTCTGTCGGTCATTCCACTCCACTCCTTTGGCCACTCCACTCTACTCCACTCCACTGTCGTGTCTCATTGGTATGCAGGTTACCCACAGTCGATACATTGTGTCAGCTGGCAGCGCGGATCCACGGTCAGGTCAGCGGGCCAGGAGGATGCAGCGGTCAGGGTGGGCCGGCCGGTCACATTCAGCACTAACGGGAGGCCACTCCCGCCGGGCCAGGCTACGCTGTATCATCGGTGATGCGGTGTCTACGTCCATATCATCTCATGTGAGGCTTCAGTGTTCAGCTGGAGGAGAAGAGCAAAATACAAAGTCGCAAAGCCACCAATTAGGTCACCAAACATCACCGGGCAGCCTTGTGCGAATGAAATCTTTTCACCAACCAAGAAACACACTTCCCTCCATCTCCAAGATCCACCCAAAGCGCCGAGATTCCGCAGATACCGGCGCAGAGCCGCTATCGTCCGTCGCTCTCTGCCGACATCGTAAAGCGTCAGCTATAAAGCAGCTTCCCGTGGCCGAGTGGCCCCACACAATGGCTTCTGCACGGCTTGGTGCGCACCAAATGACTGAAAAACGTCCACCATCCGACGGGCCAGGTAGTGGCGTCATTGTTCGGGATCAGCCGTTCACGGGTGAGGGACGCGCGTGAAGTGACCGATCGCAGGGAGGGAGGAACGGAGAGCCGGCACCGCCGAACGGTTGGCCCGGCTCGGGGTTTGGAGGGAGTGTGGGGATGAAGCGATGGAGCGATGGAGCGAGCCCCCAGCCGTGTCCGTTCCGCACCGGGTGTAGAGCCGCTCGCTCGTGCACGGGGCACGCGTGTTCGTGAGGGAAGCGTGCCGGCAAGACGGTAGGGAGTGGTGGTGAAGACGTGGCACACGGCGCTGGACGGCCGCAGACCGAGCGGCCAGTCACGCCCCGCGACAGAGAGAGACACGGCCTATATCATCGGCCGGTCACGACCGGACACGGAACTGGACCACC